CAGCAGGAGAATTCTGACCAGCACAGAAAGCAAATCTATCTGATTGGGGAGTGTTCAGACTTCTTAGGCTAGGGAAGAAATTGCTTTAAGTTTGGATTTCTCCAGGGTGGTTCTGTTTTTTTTGTTGTTCTGAGTTTTTTAAACAAGAAAGTGATTATTATTAAGATAAAAGTATCAAGTGTCACAGTATTTTCATTCTTTCATGTATTTGATAGTATTCAAATGAACTGTCATTGTTTTGATTACTATACAAATCTGTCGCTGTCTTTGCATTTGCAGTGAGACCTGTGGAGGCAAGCAAGCTTATAGCTTGTATTTCTTATTTTGGACAATTCCTTTAAAAAAAAAAAAAAAAAGAAAAAGCTTTAGCTAGGTTCTGATCATGCTTTATGTGGTTTAAAAATATAATGCAGTGGTAATAAGATGCATATTGTAGAAAATGTAAAGAGCATTCTCATGAATTAACTTAAAGCATTTTTCACATCCTGAAGAACTGGAAATAAAAAAATATGTTCAAAGATGGTACAGCCAAGACCAAGAAACTACCAAGGTGAAATTGAAACTTCTGTATAGGACACCTTGTTAAGAAATTATAATAGTTGGTAAGGACTTAATTTTCTTACTTTCTTTTTCATAGATGTATACTTAAAGCTCCCCTCAGTGTGGGTTGCAAAAGAGAATTTGCGACACTGAAGACACTAATAATTTCATAGACAACCTGACTAGATTGTCTGTGAAAAAGGTTGCAGAAGCCAGTGAAATGCTGGACTTAGCTCTCTCATTGTACATTTGGACCAACATAAAAATTGCATGGCTGCAGGCCGTGTCTGCCTGTTACAGCTGCAGACAGGCTGATGCTGAATGGGAAAGAATAGGAGCTGAGGTGGTGGGTTTTTTTGCTCTCTCCAGTGCTGTAGAATCTCACTCTGTAGTTACAGAAAGCATAGTAATACCTGGGCAAAGTTTGAGGCATTGACAGATGGTCAGATTTGGTTGAGTTGCTGCTTTTTTTTTCAGACACTTCCATCTCTTCATGGTATTAACCAAAGAGCTTTGTCTAGAATCTTGAGCTGACTGTTCTGTGACTAGTGCCAAAGAGAGAGCCTTTGGCTGCACTGAGAGATGGGGTATTAACAACTGTGTGTTTCTTGTGCATGAAATTCCTATGTGGGCAACACCTCACACCTAAAGCATTCAAGATTTATCCAGTCGCTGGAGGCTTCTTGAGGGGGGTTATGGCCTGACAGATGTTTGCAAAGGGAGAATTACATTTCAATATAGTCAGTATTCATTTTCAAAAAGTGAAACTTTGACTTTCCATTTTCTTCACTTTCAGGGCATGTAAGCTGTTGGTTTTTCTCCTCTAGATATTCTTTTAAGTATTTTTTTATTGTTATTCAAAAAGGGTTCTATTGGATCTTTCATCCTTAAAAATATATTATCAAAGTAGCTTCTAAATTTGGCTGGGAATTTTTTGAAGTCTGAAAAATGTCTTCTCTCTTATCTTTCTTGTCTGCTAAACATATTAAGTCTTGGCTGAATCAAGTTTAAATATATCAGCAGCTGCATAAGTTAACATGTTTCCAGTTAAAGTGAAGAAAAATACATTTGTGTCATTTTAAAGGAATACTGGAGGGGGAAAAAAACCTAATAAACTTACTGCAAGACTCGTTTGTCTTTTCTCTGCATGATAAAATAAGGCTTTGCTTTTAGGGAAGCCCAGATACTTCTACTCTTATTGTGTAAAGTCACAAAATCAACAAAGATGAGATTTTCATAGCCCTCTTAACTACTGTCTTATTTAATTTTTCACCACTAACTTTCATACTTTCCATAGAGTAAAGATCACCTATCAGGAGGTGCTGGAGTCTGTGCGTGTTTCTGGTGCAGGTAGCAGCGATGATGCTCTGCTGTGCTTTGCTCCCTACGACTTGTTCTTTGCTCAGCTCTCGATTGGTTGGAGAAATGGAGGACCAAGGGTAACCTGGTAATATGGGTACCGGGATTATATCGGTGGTCCCTGTGATCCAGAAAGAGCTCTCTAATTAACATGATTGTAAATATTACCCCACTGGATATAAGATGGCTACTTCATTGTCTCTCTCTGTTAAAATCAATAAAAGCTGCATTACCACTCTTAAAGAGAGGAGAATTTCATTTCATATACATAAAAAGACCTTGTCTCCCAATGGAGACTGCTATGGTAGGTAGGAGAGTAGGCTGCTTGACAATCCCTGTTTCTAAGAAGGCAGACAAATGCCCAGTCTTGTGTCTAACCAGCAGAGAGTACTTAAATTTGCCTTTATTGGATTGTCTTCATATATCCAATTTACTAGCATATACTTAAATTTTACCTGGTCTTCATAGTATCCTGGAGCCTTGAATGTAGTCATGATTGATGTGCATATTTGTATGCAGGAAAAATAACCCAAACCTTTATAAATCTTAAAGTAAATCTATAATGTTGCTGCAACATTAAGACAGAAAAATCTAATAAAATAAACGAAGTAAATTCCAAGTTAGGGCTTCTTTCACAACATTAATTAGTCCATATGGGACACTATGTAGCCTATAACCCAGAATAAATATCAGATGGATACAGTAAGGAAAACAACAATAAACCACATATACGTGAAGTATGCCAGAGCTGCTGGAGAAGATGTAATTTTAGAGCTTACTTCCCACCAC